TTCGGGGGGGCTCGATGCCCCGAGAGCCGAGGGCAGGAAAAGGGCGAGGGGGAGGCGGGGGGGGAGGCGGAGGAGGAGGAGGAGGAGGAGCAGGAGGAGGAAGAAAAAGGACGAGGAGGACGAGGAAGGTCAAGGAGGACGAGCGCGAGGAGGACGAGGAGGACGAGGAGGAGGGAGACGAGCGGTCTCGCGCGAGAGGCCCATGCATCCCCGAGGCGGTCTCCAAATGGTCTCCAACGCGTCCCTTGGGCCATTCTAAAACATGTTATTTGCAGTCTCTTTTTTGGGTCGCCAGGCCCCCGCCCCCCTTCCCGACGCTAGAAGCGCGCGAGAAAAGGTGGGCACCGCGCGCCCCTCCACCAACGCAGCCAGACCCCCTTTCAATTTTGCTGAAGATGGCCCCGCCGCGCCGCGTTACAGCTTCAAGCTGGGCCGAATATTGCCGCAGGACAGATTGTCCAAGATGGCCCCAATGTGGTTCTGCACGGGCTCCAAGAGAGCACCGGGGGCCCCGAAGGAGGCCCGCTGACTCCCCGAGAATCTTTCCGCGAGGCCCTGGCAGCCCCAACGCCATTCAAACATATGGGGGGGCACTTATTATTTTTGATGGCCCGCCGTCTCGATTGCGACGAGCCACGGTGGCTCCGACGTGTCACCCAGTCGGCCCCGCAGAGTTCCAAGAGGAACCAACCGCGTTCCCAGGAAGCCCCCACGGGGCCCTCAAGAGGCCCCCGACATCTCCGACAGGTTCCCGAAAGCTTCCAAGAGCGCGACCTAGGCTTCCCAGGAGCTCCCAACAGGCCCCAGAACTGCGCCAAAAGGGTCCCGCGAGCGGCCGAAGACGCCATCCAGAGCCTCCCAAGACGGCCTCTGGAGGCCCCTAGGACGGCCAAGGGTTCCAAGACTTTCGTCGGGAGGGCGGGGGGGGGGGGGGGGGCGCGCGACCCGTAAAAAAACATTTGATATCTGGATAAGTTTAGGGTGGCCAAGGGGGCGTCGGGACAAACAAAAACATGTTAGCGCCCAGAGGCCCCCCAGAGGGGGGCTGTTCTCGTGCCGTGGGAGCCGCCAGAGACGGCTTCTGCGTGAGATATCTTCCGTCCTCTTCCTCTTCCTCTTCCTCTTCCTCTTCCTCTTCCTCTTCCTCTCCTCGATCCTGCTCCTCATGGCCCTTCTCCCGCTCTCCTCCTCTTCCTCCTCCTTCTCGTCCTCCCCCGAAGAGCGGGGGCAGAAATGCGACGAGGGAGAGGGGGGATAGGGGGGGGGGGGGGGCGGAGGGGGGGGAGGGCGACGACGAGGGCGGGAGCGATGGTGGCGAGCGCTTGTTGTGGGCAGCCGATATCTGATAAGGGGGCGCGGTATATCGGTTTGTACTTCGATTGCGAGCGGCAGGCTACATTATCGAGGTGTCCGCCCATCCAGGCCGCGGCCCAGATATCGAGATATCGAGGCCCCGCCTGGCCGCGCCGCCGATGCCGAGATATCGAGATATCGAGTCCTCGTCCGGGCCCGTTCTCGATGCTGAGATGCCGAGATATCGAGATATCGAGTTCCCTCCTGGTTTTGGCCCCGATGCCCACATATCGAGATATCGAGATATCGAGTCCGAGCGAAACAAATGCCCTGAGGCAACCGCGAGGGAGGCGGAGGGTTGGAGAAGGAAGAGGAGGATGAGGAAGAGAAGGAGGAGGAGGAAGAGGAGGAGGAGGAGGGGGGGGGGTGCGAAAGTGGAGTGAGTGGAATGGGGGGGGGGAGAGAGGGAGGGGAAGGAGGATGAGGAGGAGGAAGAGGAAAGGGGGGGGGCATGGGGAGGAGGGGGGGGGGGGGGGGGGAGGGTCGAGGAGGATGGGGGGAAGGAGGAGTTTCTTGGGGAACATTTTAATCACTCTCGGTAGGACATGCAGCCGCCGTGCGACCTGAACGAGTTGCCCGAGTTCATGGCCCCGAGCAAGCGCGAGCAGGAGACGCTTCTCTTCCATTTGAAGATCCACGACTCCAGCCAGAAGTACATGACCTCGGTAGACATCTCACAGAGTTTGTCGCGCGTCGCCAAGGGCTACGACGGCAAGGTCCAGACCATCACCCCGTCCATGATCAGTTGGATGGTCAAACACAATCGGCCTATGCCTGGCGCGGAAGCATGGATGTGCAGATGTTCCCGATGCCGTGGATCACGGGCGGCCCAGGTGAGTTCCCAAACAGAAGCCTGCTCCTCGACCTCGCCGGGAACTCGCTCACGGCGTCGTGCTTCGCGGCGGTCTACTTGTCCGTGCTTGCTGTCCTGCCGGAGCCCGTGAAGCTGGCCCGCGACGAGGACCTGGCGCCGTCGCATGCCCTCTGCCACCGCGTGAGGATTAGGGCGAGGAGGAGGAGGGGAAGGATGAGGAGGAGAATGAGGAGGGGGATGAGGAGGGGGGGAAGCTGGAGGAGGAGGAGGTGGTGGTGGTGGAGAAGGGAGGCGGAGGAGTAGGAGGAGGAGAAGGATGAGGAGGACGAGGACGAGGATGAGAAGGAGGAGGAGGTGGAGGAGGAGGACGACGAGGAAGAGGAAGGCGCGGGTGAAGTCAGAGCGATCGCCGAAGCGAGGATGACGACGACTCCGACGACAGCAGCGGGTCATCGTCCAGCAGAGCTTATTCTCCGTTCGCCGAGCTCGAGATCAGGGAGTGTAAGCTCGCCTGGCCGCCGATGCCCGATGATGTCCCGCTCAGCGTGCTCGCCCGAGACCCAGCCTATTCCAACGTTAGCCGATCAGAGTCCAATCGGAGGCGCCCATTCTCTTAGGACGGCCGGGGGTGAGAAGGGGGGGTGGCGGTTTCGGGGACAGGGCGAAGCTCGGGGGGCAGGAAACGCTCGCAGCCCAGGGAAAGAGCGTCGACCCCCCATCGGCTACCTTTCATTTTGCCGCCCCGCGTCGTCCCACAGGACAGCGCGACGGCCGCGATCGTGGCCCTCCTGGCGTCGGTGTGAGCACGGCCGGCGGCCGCCGACCAGCCGCAGCGGCAGGTGGAGAGTACGCGGGGGAGGAGGAGACGAGGACGAGGGCGAGGAGGAGACCGGCAGCACGAGGGACAAGGGCGAGGAGGGGAGGGCAAGTCGAGGGCCGAGGATGCGGGAGAGGAGGCGGAACAGAAGGGGAGGCCTGTGGAGCGGATGGAGGGGGCGACGATTCAAGGTTGAGGGGGGGCTTGGCAGAAGGGGGTCGAACGTTAGCTTCGTGATCTAGGGGCCCCGCCCACGCTGCCCCTCCCCCCCCGCGCCTTCGACGCCTCGACCAGCCGCCCTAGTGGGGCGCTGTCGGGGTCGGGGAGGGGCGCTTCTCCGATGCCGCGCGTGGCCCGCGAGACGGTCGCAGAACGAGCGTCAGTAGTTCGTGTCTTTTTTCGGGGGCGGCCGAGGCGCGCCGCCGGGGGCAGTCGGCGACTCGAGATGAGGGGTGGCGAGCGCTTCCGCAGGAGACGAGATTCGTACATGGGCGCGAGATGCCTGCTCCTTTCTTTGCTGCAAGGGGGAGAGGGCTCCAGATGATCAAGCGCTTCGCGCGTCTAGACGCTTTCTGTTGTAGAGCATTGGCCCGCCTCGAAATCACGGCCTGGCATCCCATCGTGCGGGGGTGGGGGCGGTTTCTGGCCCCTCTGCTCTCTTTCTCGCCCCTTCCATTCCTCAGAGAAGTTGCAGGCCAGGCGATGTTTGTTTTGTTGGGGGTATCCCTCCTTGAAGGCTTGCGGCGTACGATTGCTTATCCAAAGACATGTTTGGGGCGACATTTCAAATCGCGAGCTAACGGTTTCGGTGACAATTGATCACCGAAGCTGGAATTGTTATCATTTGTCGATCTCCAAAGGTTTCGGAACATATTCAGAACATTTGAATTTTCCTACTTGAGTATTTCTGAATGTGTGATGGATTTCTGAAGTTCCGATTTCTGAACTTGTGAATTTCTGAACCTCCGATTTCTGAACCTCTGGATTCCTGAACCTCCGATTTCTGAACCCATTGATTTCTGAACCTCCGATTTCTTATCCTCTGGATTTCTGAACCTCCGATTTCTGAACCTCTGGATGTCTGAACCCACGATTTCTGAACTTCTGGATTCCGAATCTCTGGTTTCCGAACCCAATGAACGACTCCTAAAGAAGAGCTCTTTGAGACCTGACAAATGATGATGATGATGATGGTGATGATGATGATGACGATGCTAATGATGATGCTGATGATGATGAATATGATGATGATGAGGATGATGATGATTATGATAATGTTGCTGATGATGGTTATGCTGATGATGACGATGATGGTGGTGATGACATTGATGATGATGATGCTGCTGCTGCTGCTGATGATTTTGATCAGTAGCATGCTGATGATGATGCTGCTGATTATGATACTGCTGCTGCTGATGATGCTGCTGCTGATGATGATGATGATAAGGATTACGAGTCAGTCGATGACGATGATGATACAAAGGGAACGGTGATCATGCTTATGGTATGGATCACGAGGATGATACAGATGGTGATGTCGATGCGTACCATGACGATGTGGGAAGTGGGACGATGATTAATACCATGTTTAGGGTGACGGGGACGATGGCCATGGCGATGACACAGATAGCGATATATAACTCGGGAGAGGAAAAGGGAAACGTGTCAATTCATAATCGTATTATTATGATGGCCATGAGGAGTGACGGTATTCTGTCGATGCGGAGGAAAAGGAACAATCCGAGGAGGATGACCGTCTTGCTTGTGCAATTGTCATCTTCGGGTGTATGACTCTTGCTTTGCGTCACGGCCGAGTTGCATAACATGGTTTATAATGCCAGTGGCAAATGAATAAGGTCGACAGTGGTCTGCATCAGCGCAACACGATCGGCCAAAGGGTCGCTTTATATCCGTTTAGCGGGATGCTCGCTGGAGCTCAGGAGGCATCCGAAGCTGAGGGGGGGACAGGGGTCGATGAAATCCCTCTACTCACTCTTCCTCCTGTTCTGCCAGCAGGATCTTGGCCTCGTGTCGCAGAGCTTCGGGCAGGGGGCCGAAAGGCGCATCAGCCTCTTCCGCGTGGCGCCGGGTGACGACGGCTTGGCGGCCGTTGAAGGCGCTCCTTTTGTGCAGAGGGGCAGTTGAGTGGTCGTGGCGTTCAGGGCAGCTGTGCTTGAAGACGTGGACGGTTCGTATACACAGAACGCAGAGGAATCATTTCGGGCACAGGCGTTGTTTTTGTCTCTGAGCGAGGAGTCGGGTGGCCACTGGAATCGGAAAGGCATGAGGGACCGAGAAAGGGGTCGGGCTTCGGATCGGAGGAAGACGAGGAACGATTTGGGTGATGCCCAGGACGGGGCGCAAGGCGAGAGAGAATTCTGGGCAGGGCTGGCCAAACTTTCTGGACGAGCTGGTGACGCCCCTGGGGCACCTTGGGGGAGTTACCCTTTCGAGGAGGTCGCCCCCTCCCGCGGACGGGTGAGGGTCGGAGCGCCCCGTCGGTGGTTTTTCGGCATCTTGCAGGACGGCCCTGCTGCCGCTCGAGTGAAGTTCCTGGCCGCGACTCGGGCCATGTATCCTCAGCGACGACGGCGACAACGAAGACGACGACGAAGACGACGACGACGAGGACGACGAGGACGATGACGACAACGACGACAACGATGAGGACGAGAACAACGAGGACGAGGACGAGGACGAGGATGAGGACGAGGTCCAAAGACGAGGACGAGAGCGAGGACGAGGACGACGATGACGAGAACGAGGACTAGGACGAGGACGACGACGAAGACGACGAGGATGACGACGACCACGACGACAATGACGAGGACGACGTCGGCGACGACGACAAGCGACAACCACGACTACCACGACCACGACGGGGACGAGGACGACGAAGAGGACGGGATGAGGAGGAGGGGGACGAGGATGAGGACGAGGACGAGGACGAGCGAGGACGGGGACGAGGTCGACAAGGACGAGGACGAGGACGAGGATGACGACGACGACGACCACGACGACCACGACGACCACGATGACGACGACGAGGACGTGGACGAGGACGAGGACGAGAACGAGGACGACGACGACGAGGACGAGGAAGGCGACGACGACGACGAGAATGACGAGAATGTCGACGGCGACAACAACGACGAGGACGACGACGACGACGAGCGACGACGACGCCGCTGACGACTAGGCCGAGGATGACGAGCACGAGGACGAGGATGAGGACGACAACAACGACGAGGACGACGAGGACGACGAGGACGAGGACGAGGAGGACGACGACGACGATGACCACCACGACCACGGCGACGACGACGACGAGGACCAGGACGATGACCACGACGACGATGACGAGGACGAGAACGACGACGAGGACGACGACGACAACGACGAGGACGACGATGACGACGCCGACGCCGAGGACGATGGCGACAGCAAGCGAGGACGACGCCGACGACGAGGACAAGGACGACGAGGACGAGGACGATGATGATGACGAAGACGACGACCACGACGACGACGCTTACGACGACGAAGACGACGAGGACGAGGACGAGGACGAGGACGGGGCGACGACGACGACGACCACGACGACCACGACGATAAGGACGCGGACGAGGACGCGGACGAGGATGAGGATGAGGACCAGGACGACGACGACGACGAGGACGACGACGACGACGAGGACGAGGACGACGGCAACGACGACGACGAGGACGATGATGACGACTCCGACGACGGCGACTATGGCGACAACAAGCGACGACGACACCGACGACGATGACGAGGACGACGAGGACGACAGCGAGGACGATGTCGACGACGACGACGACGACCACGATGACGACGCTTGCGACGACGATTACGAGGACGAGGACGAGGACGAGGACGGGACGACGACGACGACGACCACGACGACCACGACGACGAGGACGCGGACGAGGACGCAGACGAGGATGAGCACGAGGACCAGGACGACGACGACGAGGACGACGACGACGACGAGGACGACGACAACGACGACGACGAGGACGATGACGACAGCGATGACAACGGCGATGACGACGCCGACGACGACAACGTGTACGAGGACGAGGACGAGAACGTGGACGAGGACGAGGACGACGAGAACGAGGACGAGGACGAGGACGAGGACGACGACGACGACGAGGACGACGACGCCCGACGGCGACGACGACGACGAAGATGACGACGACGACGAGTGACGAGGGCGAGTGACGACGACGACGATGGCGACATCGAGAACGAGGACGGCGAGCCACGACGTCGTCGACGACGAGGCCGCAGAACTTGTCCAATAACCTTCTGAGTTGCGGAGAAATGCCCAGACTGGAAAACAGAGTTGATGATCCTCAGGACGTGTGCTCGCCCAATGCGTGTTCACGCGATCAATCTCCACTGTATGCGCGCGGCTTATGCCAGCCCTCATTCCTTGAGATCCGACGTCTCGAATAATTAAAACATCGGCAAGGATCACGACTGGAGCCCTAGACTCCTGTGATGGTTTCGAACCTGTGATGGTTCTGTGGCTAAACCCCCTCGAAAGCGCCCGATTTGAACGAAATGCATCGCCTGGACCTCAGGGACCGCCTGCGTCGTGTTGACGGGCTTCGGTGGACAAGCACACGATGGCGTGAACACACGTTCTGAGGATCATCGACAGAAGCCTCTGGGTCGGAGGCCAAGCCCTCTCTTTCTCGGAAGCTTCGCGGAGCCACTGGGGATGGGCCGCTCTGCGCGAGAGCGGCGGTGCTTCGCATCGGCCACGGCCACGTCGGCGGCGACTCGGAGCCCTCTGGCCCCCCCCCCTCTGGAAGAGCCGCCTACGATTCGATTCGATGCGATTCGATTGGCCGGCTGGGGCCGTGATTCAGATTCGATTCGATCCTGCTCGATTCACCAGCATCGGCCGTGGCCAGCTGGAGCCATGCGCGACGATCCGATTTTGGTTCGATCCGTGACGATTCGCTGGCCATCCGACCCGTGTCCGATCCGATCTGATTTCGCGATCCGGTCCAGCTCGGGCCTTCCTGGAGCCCTCCGAGGACCGCAGAGGGCTGCTCTGCGCGAGAAGAGCGCCCCTCTTCGCCGCCTCCCGGGCGCGCCTAAGCGGCCGCGGCGCGGCGCCCTCCCCCAGCCTCCTGGGGCTCTCCGAGGGCTGCGCTTGGGCCCAGGCGCTCGGCTCCTGCTGGCCAGTGGCCCCTGCTCTCTCTCTCTCTCTCTCACTCCCCCCCCCACCTTCTCGCGCTGTGGCAAAATTATGACGGAAGGCTTTTGCCAACCTTTGGCTCTGGGGGCCCCCACGGCCCGTCAGAGTGCGACTCGGGTTGAAGCGCTGGTCCTGGGAAAGGGGTCCAGGCTTCCAGGAGGGACCACGTGGCGAAGAAGTCACGGCAAACGTCGCGACGTCGGAGCTCCGCGTCTCAGGGCGGGCGCGCGACCCCACGCGGACGTTGCCGTCCTCCTGTCTCGGTGAGGCTGGCGCTCGCGAGCGGAGGGGTGCCTTCTGAGGGTTGATGATCCTCAAGACGCGCGTCAGCCGAACGTGTGCCTGCCCCGCTCAGCTCCACCGGTAGATCACTACATGGCCTGCGTCGTACTGAAGGCAACCAGGCACGCGCAGAGGGGTGCAGGGGGAGGGGGGAAGGCTTCTTGGCAGGACGCTGCTGCTTAGATGGCCCGGGCCTTGTCTGCAGATGTAAGGCCCGTGCCTTTTGAGAAGCGGGCCTCCTTCTAGGAAGCCGTCCCCCCTCTACCCGCCCCCCCCTCTGCGCGCCGCCACGACAAGCATGCGGGCGCCAACGCACACTCGAAGGCCAGACTGTCAGATTGGATTGGGCCCCAAGGGCCAATCTGGCCCGGCCAAACTTGATGATCTGGGTTATTCGCCAGACTGGCTTCGCGTTGGCCCCCTCGCCAGATTGCCCCCGTTTGCCAGATTGGGCCTGCCAGATTGGCGCCAGATTGGCTTCGACTACCCAGCACTCGGAGGCTCCTCGAGAGGGAGGAGCCGGGCCGCGACCCGTCGACGCGCGGCCCCTCCGCCGGACCCCAGCGGCCGCTGCCCGCCGCTCACGGCGCTCGCCTGGGCGGGCCGGCCGCCCCGCTTCGGGCAGTAGCTTTCAGGCGGGCCTGTCCCTCTGCAGGAGGAGTATTCAAAACTATTCAAACATTAGTCAGGGGACCATTTCTGACCATTTTTGAGAATTTGGGGGGTCTTTCTGGAATACTTATTATTTTTCGGCCAAAACCCCCTCTGTAGGGGGACAGGCCCGACCGAACAGTTGCTGAGGACAGCACGACCCGCCCCCACCCCCACCAGGATGCCCGCTCCCGACCTGGTGGTCCAGTGGGTCCTGGCTGGGGGTGGGGGTGGCTCTTGGGCGCTCCCTGGCGGTAGACAAAGAGCCCCCCTCCACCCCAGCCAGGACCCCTGGACTACCAGTTCGGGAGTGGGCGTCCTGGTGGGGGTGGGTCAGTGGTTTGCGGGGAATGTGACTCCAGCATTTCTGGCCGAGACAGTCTCCTGTTTTAGTCAGTCGCTGTCTTGTGTTCAGAGAACACTGGCTTTTGTTCTCAGAGCGCTCTCTTGTTCTCAGAGCACGTCGGTTCCTGCTCAACTGCTGGCCCCGCCCCGCTAAGGCGCAGCGGAGGACGCCGCCCCCGAGGAAGAGGGCGCGCCCAGGGTGGACGTTCTCGCCGCGGCGGCGGGCGCGGACTCCGCGTGCTCCGGCGTGGTGCTCTGCGAGGACGCAGCCGCGGGGGTGCGGATGCCGCCGCAAGGCGCTGCCGAGGGTCGAGAATGTGGTCCCTGAGCTCTCCGGCCGCTGTGGAATCCCACCCCCGCGGGTCCCATCGGCGCTGGGGCATCGGACACCCCTGCTGGTGTTCGCTTTGCTGCAGACATCCCTCGAATTCTGACCCCCAGCCGGTTTTTCAGGGATCTGAACTGCAGGGGCTGGGTTCGCATTTGGTCGCCGATGAGCGGTTCAGGCCCTCTTGAGGGGCCCCGTCTAGGTCGCCCGCGGCGGCGCGAAGACAGCCGCGTCTCGCGCATCGCGGCCCATGCCGGAGAGCTGCTCTTCCCCAGAACGACCTCGCGAGGACGCGAAGGTAGCCGCGTGGCGCGCATCGTGGGGCGCGACGCGCGAAGTCAGGTGATCCAGCTCATGGAGACCTCGTCTGGAGGCCTCCGGAGGCCTCGCGCCGCCCCGCCTCGACCCGCCCCGCCGTCCGCGGCGACCGCAGGCTCGAGGCTCGACGATCGAAGCAGCGGTCATCTCTTCCTCGGCGGAGGGCGGCGGAAGGCGGCGGAAGCCCGCGGACGTAGAACGAGACCGCCTCCGCCAGCGGAAGCCGCCAGAAGGCCAGTGGAGGCGGACGGAAGTGAAAAAGTGTGCCCCCAAGAGTCACCACCTACCAAACCACCCCAACCCAACCCGAAGGCCTCAATTTGCCCTCCATTTCCAGTGGGGGGGAGTTTGGGGAACATCGAAAAAATACGTATGGAACCCATACCCCCCCCAACCCGAAATTCGGGTCTTCGGGTTGGGTTGGGGTGGTCTGGTAGGTAGTCAAAGAGATGGCAGCATCTTTAGATTCAGGGTTTGCGGAGCCGGCCATCCGGAGGCCCCACGGGCCTCGGGGGGCCTTCCTGGAGGCCTTCCAGAGACTTCTGTGGAGGCCTTCGGAGATCTCCGCGGGAGTGCAGAAGAAGCAGTTTTGGTTATTTCACGTGTAACGTTGGCTTCTATAGGCTGGCAGGGTGGCTGGGTTCGTTTTCTTGAGCCCCCCACTGTGCACTGCATCTCTCTACTCCGCCTCTGGTCATATCGTCGACGATGCTCGTTCGATGCCGCACTGTAAGGAATTTGTCTCGAAGGGCTCCCAAGGGGGCGAAACGCGTAGCCCCTTTCGGTTTTCGCTTGAGACTTGATGCAGAACAACGGGTGGGCCCGCCCCGCCCCGCCTCACTGCTCGAAGGTTTTTGTTCCCAACCCTCCTTTGAGTTGAGTCCTAGTTTTGAATCCACAGCGCCGCGCGTTTCCTTCATTCCTCTTTCCTTCCTTCCTTCCTTCCTTCCTTCCTTCCTCCCTCCCTCCCTCCCTCCCTCTTCCCTCCTCCTCCTCCTCCTCCTCCTCCTCCCTCCTCCTCCTCCCCCTCCTCCTCCTCCTCCTCCTCCTCCTCCTCCTCCTCCTCCTTGTCCTCCTCCTCCTCCTCCTCCTCCTCCTCCACCACCTCCTCCCCTTCTTCCGCTGCCCAAGCCGCGTGCGAAACGCAAGGGGGGAGACGGCGGCCCAGGCAAGGAGGCCAAGCAGTCCAGGGTCTTCGAGCAGTTCGGAGCCGACGCGACGCGCAGGGGATTGAATAGAAAGGCAGGGGTGAAGCTCTGGCGGCCCTGCTGAGTGCGCTCACGAAACTCGCTCTCATCGCCGCTCGGGATTTGGCAGATGTGTCTGGCGCTTGATATAAGTCCTACATAGTGGCTGCAGCCGTTCCATTCGTCGAGGTGCTGATGGAAGCAAGCCTTGCATACGCGGAGGGCTGCCAGCACCATTTCATGGACCACAAGAACGGGCCACCGTGGCCGAACGCCTTCGTGGCCTTCATACGCTGGGCACCGACGGACTCGACCTCAACTAACAAGTGCCCAGTGACCTATTGGGAGAGAGTGATCATGAGACCAGACGCGTTTACCCTGCTGCAGCATCGCTGCAAGCGCGTCCACGGGGGCCGACGCTTGCTGGCAGCATTTGTCGCTTCGGTAACCGGCCGAGTGTCCATGACCGAGCGGTGCTGGAATGCACCCTTGTTTTTCGACCGGAATGCCGAGAGACGCACCCCTGGCAAAAGAGGAGAGAGCAAGAGGGCAGTATGTCATGCATGCCATGCGTATTCCGATAGTTGCCCGCCCTGCAAATTCAATTTCTTTTGCGGGGGGTTCCACTCCCAGAAACAGCGACATTGCTATGCTTTAAAGTAAACAGAACGGGAGGCCGCAGAGCAGCAGAGGATGCAGCGTGGGGTGGAACACATGCAGGAGAATATGCAGCGTCAAGTGCAGATTTTTTTATTCGGCTGCTCGTGATGGGGGGCTGCCTGGCGGTGGAGGGCCAGATTGTTCCAGCGGTTGTTGGCCAAGATGTAGGCTTGGCGCGCGTTGTGGTGGGGGCCCTCCTGGGGATGGTGGGCCGCCTAACGGCGGGGACTTGGGAGCGCAGGCGATGTTTTCTGACGGCGGCCGTGGGAACGGAACAGCTGAAACCTTCTGGCTGGGTAGTCGAATGCCAGACTGTCAGATTGGATTGGGCCCCAAGGGCCAGTCTGGCCTGGCCAAACTGGATGATCTGGGTTATTCGCCAGACTGGATTCGCGTTGGCCCCCTCGCCAGATTGCCCCCGTTTGCCAGATTGGGCCTGCCAGATTGGCGCCAGATTGGCTTCGACTACCCAGGAACAGCTGAAACCTTCTGGGTCGCGCCCCCAGACATCCTTCATGCGGGGGCGCTCAGCGGATGGAAGAGGTGGTCGCTCGGAATCGTTGCCGCGGCGTCGAAGGACTCCGAGAGCGCTCTGTTGTGGTCTCAAGACTGTGCTTGATAACAAGGTAAGTACCGGTGGAGGGCGTAAGGGGCCGGCGCCTCTTGCCTCGCGCGAGCCGCTGGCAAGGGCATCTCCAGGACCATGGGGCATCTCGTGGCGGACATTGAACGTGCTGGCGGAAGCGGTGTCAAAAGGAGGGGAGGTTGGTTAGAGGCCGTGCTCTTGTCAGGGCGGTAATGAGCTTTGCCGCTGCGACGGCGGATCGTGGCCATATTGGCAATTATATATTGGATGTCCCATTCAGGTCGAGGGGCATAATGTCAGAGCTGATGTTGATCTGTTCGATTCCAATGACACCTGGCGAGTGGTGCTCAGCAGGATGGGACCCTCTAGTGAGCAAATGTGGCTGGTCTCCCAGGAGGTTTACTCTCATTGAAGAGGTGGCCGCAGCTGACCGCAAGTTGCATTTGCACGATCTCAGTTTGGGAGACGAAGGCGAGGGAACCAGGTCGTATCGCTGGCTGAACGACCACGTCGTGAGAATGATGATTCGGGGAAGGCTGGAGTCAAATCGAGCAGGGGGGCTGCGTGGTCTCAGCGGGGAATGTCGAGCGCGGCGCCGGCCACCGGTGGGCTGGAGGGCCTGCCCGCGAAGAACGGGGCGCCGAAGGCGGGCATCTCATGCAAACACCTCGAACGAGGTTCATGCATGGAGGGGGGGAAGTGTCCCTGCAATATTTGCTGGGCCGCTTCGGGAAAAAGGGCGGAGGACAAGAGTGGGCGTGGGAGACGCGCGAGAAGAATAAGTGAGAAGGAGGGGGGCATGGGGGGCAAAACGAGAATGCGTAACACATGATAATTCGATGGGTCGCGGCAGAGACGCCGCCCCCGACCGCCTGGTGAACCCCCCCTGTCCGGTGCAGGAGACGGCCTTGTTGCCAGCGTGCAGAGAGACATAATCCACCCGCATGCCGTGGAAAGCGCGCTGTCGTCCAGGCCCGAGAGGCCCCCCTCTGAGAGGCGGGGGCGTCTGGTTCGGAGCCTGCCCAGATCGCGCGTTATGGTTTCAACGCCGACTTCGGGGCAGGACCGAAGGCGGGCGTGCGTCGGGCTGCTCGAGAGCGCGCCCCGAAGGAGCCGAAAATCATTGCGGAACGCAGATGGGCGTTCGCCTCCTCGACGAGGAAGCGGCAGGAACGGAAGAACCGCGAAGCCGCGCAGGTAGCTTTGCTGAAAGGCTTCGAACGGGAAGATGAGGTGTAGATCCTCTGGATCGAATTGGGGAGTGAGCATGCGACGCGTGGGCAGGAGTGCCTGGTGCGGTTCGGGTCCATGAGGTTCATCGTAGACACTGGGTGCGGTTTTTCATTTCCATGTGAAGAAGTTTGTATCTAGGGCTTGGGCCATTGGCGGTATCGTCGGGTTGTCGACGCCGATGGTCCTGACATCAGCGGGGGTTTAGACTTGGGGTCCTCGGTTCACTGAGCACAGCCTGTGGCAATTCCCTGGGTTGTAGTTTCGAGTTCGTCGTCATACGGCGCACTCCGAGCATGTTGTCGGTTGGCGAGAGGGTGATCGATTTGGTGATCGATTTCGTGTTTGGTTTCGTTCGGGAGTCTGGGAATTCACCCTACTTACTGATGCCCAACGGGGGGGGAGGACATCTGTCTCTTGATGGTGGGAGTCCATCTTTGATTTTCTGTGGCAGAGAGGCGCTGCGTTGGGTCGGGAAGACGTGGCAGACGCAGGCGACAAAGAGAGATTCGGACGCTATCTCGCTTAGGAATCTCCTTATTCATTTCCTTGAAACCCGTACTGCAAGGATTGCGGGCAGGGAAGGCGCTGCGATTGCAGCAGAGGCGTGCTCAGAACAATCCGTTTCGTGTCCCGGGGCCGTGCGCTCACCCGAAGAAGTTTGGAGTGTTGTGCGCCATGGGTGAGGATGATAATTATGGTGATGTGGGCGACGAGATCGACGACATGGTCGATTACGATGATGACGATGGTAACGAGGATGCTGAAACCGATGATGCTGCTGCTGTTGCTGATGACGACCACGAGGATGATGGCGATGATGTTGCGGTGATAGATATTGATGGTGGATATCTTGAGATCGGTGGTGGCGGTGACGACGATGACGATGACGATGATGAAGCAGAGGGGAGGACGACAACAACGACAATTTCGATGACGATGGCGATGAGGACGATGATGTCGATGATGGCGATGATGATGATGCTGCTGATTCCAATGCTGATTTTAGTTTGGATGATGCTGACGAGGAGGAGGAGGAGGAGGAGGAGGAGGAGGAGGAGGAGGAGGAGGAGAAGGAGGAGGATGATGGGGAGGAGGAGGGGGATGAGGAGGGGGTCGAGTCGGAGTCGGAGTCGGAGTCGGAGTCGGAGTCGGAGGAGGGAGGAGGAGGGGGAGGAGGAGGAGGAGCAGGAGGTGGAGGAGGAGGAGGAGGGGGAGGAGGAGGAGGAGGAGGGGAAGGAGGAGGAGGAACGCCAGAGCGGGCGCGTGCCTACCGCGTGTTTAGCGACGCGGTGCATCGCAGCCAGGGGTGGCAGCTGCGCAGCGCGGCTGGGCTCGTTGAGCGCGAGGAGGAGGCGGAAGGGGGAGGTGGAGGGGGGGAAGGAGGACGAGGACGAGGAGGAGGAGGAAGAGGAGGAGGAGGAGGAACAGGATGATGATGATGCTGCTGATGATGATGATGCTGATGCTGATGATGCTGCTGATGATGATGCTGATGATGATGCTGATGATGATGATGATGATGATGATGCTGATGCTGCCGCTGATGAGGATGATTGTGATGGTGGTGGTGATGATGCTGCTGCTGATGATGATGAGGATGACGATGATGATGCTGATGATGATGATGGTGATGATGGTGATGATGCTGATTATGATGATGATGATGATGATGATGATGATGATGATGATGATGATGATGATGATGATGATGATGATGATGATGATGATGATGATGCTGATGATGATGATGATGATGATGATGATGATGATGCTGCTGCTGCTGCTGATGATGATGATGATGGTGGTGGTGGTGGTGGTGATGATGATGATGATGAGGATGAGGAGGAGGAGGAGGAGAAGGAGGACAAGGATGAGGATGAGAAGGAGGAGGAGGAGGAGGAGGGGGAGGAGGAGGGGGAGGCGGAGGAGGAGGAAGAGGAGGGAGGAGGAGGAGGAGGAGGAGGAGGAGGAGGAGGGGAAGAGAGAGGAGGAGGAGGAGGAGGAGGAGGAGGAGGAGGAGGAGGAGGGGGAGGAAGAGGAGGAGGAGTAGGAGGAGGAGGAGGAGGAGGAGGAGGCGGAGGATGATGCGGAAGATAAGGAGGAAGAGGGCCAGTGTAAACCCAAGAGTCATCAACGGTGTTGGAATGAACCCTCCCTCCAAGCGCCCACTTCATAGGCCCCTACGACGGTTCAATTTCATTGGGTGAACTGCCTCGCTGGAAGACAATCGGTTGAAGACCTTGAAGCATGCCAAAACATTGTTCTCGGGATTTCCACGCCACGGATCAACCTGACTGCTGCGTCCTGACGATCTGGGATCGTGCCAGAACTCCATTTTTGGGATTTCGACACCGCGAATCAACAAAAGTGTCGCGCCCGCATAATCCAGAATCTTTCCAAAACGCAATTTCTGGCAAGTTGATGATGGGAATCGGTGGACCACTTGCAGAAATTCAAAACGAATGTGCGCGGCGCTAAGACGAGAGACACATTTTGAAAAGGAGCCGCCCATAATCCGTGAAACCCTTGGATTTCTTAACAAAGAACGTGCGCGGCGCTGAGGCGACAGTCACATTTTGAAAGCGACCCGCCCTCAATCCGTGAAGCTCTTGCAACTATTTACAACGAGTGTGCGCGGCGCCAAATGCGAGAGCCACACTGCGAAGAGGAACCGCCCTGAACCCGTGAATCTCTTGCACATGTTTATAACGAATGTGCGCGGTGCTCAGGCGAGAGCCACATTGTGAAAAGGAGCCGCCTGCAATCCGCGAAGTTCTGGCAAGTTTAAAAAACGAATGTGCGCGGCGCTAGGGCGACAACGACATTTTGAAAACCACCTGCCTTCCATTAGTGAAGCTGTTGCCATGTTCTAAGCTTCGGAGTCATAAGATATGAGGGGGTCTCAGGCGAAACGCCCGGCCCGCCCTAAAAACTGGCTTCGGGGTGCGACAGGGAACATTTAGAAAGAAAAGGAATGGATCAGAGAAGGAGGGGGGGAGGAGGAAACGGATGAGGAGGCGGAGGCGGAGCCGGAGGTGGATCCGCAGGCGGATGCGGAGGCGGAGGGGGAGATGATGATGATGATGAGGACGAGGAGGAGGAGGGGGAGGAGGAGGAGGAGGAGGAACGAATAATACCGTTAATACTAAACCTAATAACAATAACAGGGGCAGTACTAACAATACGAATCGCATGGTACATAAGCATAATACTAATACTGCTCTTCAGAATTCGAAGGATCATAATGATACGAAACGTACTGAATATCATGATACTTATAAGAAACATGCGAATACGACTAATTGTTAAAAGGGTAGTATCACTCATCAGAGTGATATCAGTAACAACAATAATGCAGTTACTAAAGGTAGCCTGCATCATTATAATACCCACAATGGTACTAGTGATACTACCACCACTACTACTACTACTACCACCACTACTACTACTACTACTACTACTACTACTACTACTACTACTACTACTACTACTACTACTACTGCTACAACTACTAATACTACAACTAATATTACTATTACCACTGCTACTAATACTACTACTACTACGACTACTACTCGTACTACTAATACTTTAACTAGTACTAATATGATCATTAATCCCAATACTAATATTCATATACTACTACTACTACTACTACTACTACTACTACTACTACTACTACTACCAACACTATTACTAATACTTATATTTGTCATACTAATACCAACACTATGAACAGTCATGGCAGTATTAGTAATGCTACATACTACTACCACTACTATTAATAATAAAACTGATGGAACAACTCATATTAATACCAACCCTATTGTTGACTATAGCAACATATGTACCAGTAACTACCACATAGTACTATTACAGCGGGTACTTGCGAACTTTCGCACTAATAGTGCCAATGAAAATGATATAAAGAAGAGGAAGAGGAGGATGATGAGGAATACTAATAATACGGATATTCATACTGCTAGTACTAATATTAGTTATAATAGGATAAGTAATGCTGGTTTTAGTACCAAGAGTACTAAGAGTACTGATCATAACATCATTAATACTATTAAAATACTAATAGTAGTATTAATACTGATGATACTTATATTCACAATAAGTAATACTAATATGATTAAGCAAATTATTAATAATACTACTAATAATGAGAGGCGGGGGAGGGTGAGGAGGAGGAGGAGGAGGAGGAGGTGAGGCGGAGGAGGACGAGGAGGATATTATCCCCCCCGCAGGAGAGCCGCGAGGCGCTGCTCGAGGCCGTGCGTCACCTGGTGCCGCCAGGCCCCTCCGCCGGGCACTGCGGGTCTGGGCTTGCTGCGTCGTCGTCCCCTCTTGACCTCTTCTTCCTTCTCCTCCTCCTCCTCCTTCTCCTCCTCCTCACTTCCTCCTCCTTCTCACTTCCTCCTTCTCCTCCTCCGCCTCCTCCCTTTTCCTTCTCCTCCCCCTCGCCCTCCTCCTCGTGGGTAATCTGGGTAATCTGAAACGGTCCAGGGCTTTATAGTGCAGAGCCCAAAACAAACAAACGAAACTAGGAGGCCTCCCTTCCCCTCCTTGCCTCAGCTCCTTGGCCTTGGCGTCCCGCTGCAGCTTCTCCGCCAGCTCGCCGAGGGGGCTCCTGCCGACAGGAGCAGCTGGACCAAGTGTGTACTTAGTGGAAGGCAGCCTGCGGGACAAGAGGGCCCGCAGCTCTTTAGACTTGGGGTTTGGGGTACACCTCCTAGCAAGGGAGAGGGCCTTCATGGTGGCGAACGCTTCACGCGCAGTGCAAAAGAGCACTGGGGTCCCATTGGGAACTGTCCACGCCACATGGAGCTTGTGACCGTGAAACCCAGGAGTCCCGAGGACAGAACACAAACTAGGATTCAGACGGCCCTGGCATTGAAACTGAGTCTTAGGACTGATGCGTCTCATACAATACTCACACTTCTAGTGGTCGCCATTCCAATCTGGGGTGTGGGGTTCGTCGAACCTCGAACCCCCCTGGGACCCACACTTCCCTCTTTGAGTCCCCCGACGATTTCTCCTGGGGTGGGCCACGCCGCGAGCACGGACGCCATAGCATAGCACATCTTATAATGATGCTTGACGGTGTGGGCAATCTCTTCAGCCTGCAAAGGGGGAAAGTCATGCAGCTGGGCTCTCTGGCCCGCTAGCCAATCAGCAGCTTTGGTGCTTCTGATGACTGTGAGGTCCTCGGGGCTGTCTGCTTGCTGTTCTTCCCTATGGGCCTTAGTCTTGAATAGTTTGAGCCGACCTACAGGGATATCCGTGGCAATCTTCCTGAACAAGCGGGCTCCGAACGAGTTGTGTGACAGGGCAGCCTGAAGGTTGAGGCCATCCCGAATCAATGCTTTGTAGTCAACTGTGAGAGAACTTGGTCGTCCTCCTTCAGAATGAATCGCTCCTACCATCAACGCAGCCCGTTCCCCGGCACCAGAAGTTTGGCCACAACGTTTGGGAGCGAACCCCAAAATCCCTCGGCGCAAATCTCCGTGGTCGTCAAGTTCACAGACACCCCAGCCCGCGCGGGCCAATTCACCCAAGGACGGACGGAGGCAACTTCCATCAGGGTGAAGTTTTGCACCGGGGATGAATTCAAATCTACCGCAACGACCAGAGGCGTCTCGATAGTGCAACTCCCAATCCTTTGCAGGCTCAGGGACATCGAACTTGAGAAGCCACCCTCCTGAGAACAGGAAGCTTTGTGGCCCAGCCGAAAGAGCATCTTGGATCATCTCAGGTGAACAACAAATATTCTCTCACCTGGGCTGCGAGTGGGCGTTCCCAGCAGCGGTGGATGGCAGTGTCTGTCCTTCCGCAAAACTTGCACTCCGGCGAAACTGAACAACCCCGCTTTCAGATTTGTCGGCCGAAGGGATCGCCCCTCCCATGGCCTGTTTCATCGCAGAGACTCAAAGAGGCGGCAGCTTGTGGGCCGAGCGAAGGTACCTTGCCATGAGGCCCCACCAAAGTCCTCGCTCCTGGAGGGCCAGGCCCTCGGGGCACGGGTAGTGGTCAACAACTTTTCGCCCTTCCGGCAACGCATTGCGGATGGCCGCAGCTGTATGGGGCCCCGCGGGATGGGTCCGGCCAGATCGCGCGCCCGCGACGGGGCCAGCTAGTGCGAGCTGCCCTGCCAGACAGACGAAGCCGCGGATATGAACGTTTCGCTGAATTGCGGGCCGCGGCCGGCAGGAGCAACGTCGTGCACGACCTGGCTCCTCAGATCTCCTTCCGGCCGTTTTCCGCGGCCAGATTGGAGGCCGACCGCGACGCTCAGATGGGGCGGCGGCGTGCTCACTGCCGTGGGCGTGCTCAAGAGATGATCGACATGGTCGTGGCTGGACCCCCGACCGTCGCGCCGCCGCCATTGCCGTCGGATCTACGCGCAGAGTCAGAACTCACTGGAGTTGAAGTCGACGAAGCCGATGAGATGTGCGGCAGCTGTCTGGGCCACCGCGTCAACTTGGACCTTGCTGTTGTTCTTCAGCGCGGCCGTCGCTCCCACTAGAGCTGTGCCGGCGCCAGGGCCGGCGCGGGCTGCGACGACGCGCAGATGCGAGCAGCGGAAGAGGCACTCCGTGGCGACCAGGCCCGAGCGCCATGCGGGCAATGCCCAACATGTAGGCAACATCTGGTAGTGCGCGAGGTCGCGCATATCTACGTCGACACCGCGCCCCGTGAAGCGCCCGATGAGGAAGTCCCCCCCGTCGATAGTGTTGACGTGATCACGCCGCGAGACGCGCCGATCGGCGAGGTCGCCCTCGGCGCTCATGCATCCACCTGGGGGTAGCCATCGCCTCGAGGCTCGCCGCAAGTCGGCGGGGCCGATGCGCTACCTTGGTGGCCAGCCAGTGGCCCGGCAAACGAGTGCGCTTTTCAGATGCACTGCGCTCGCGCGCAGCTCCCTTCAGGTTCATGGGCGAACCGCATGGGCGAGACGCTTGCGCGCCAGCTGCGCCGCCGAGCCGTAGAGGCGGGGCGCCTGCCGCAGCAGCTCCTCGTGAGCAAGCCCCTGAGCGCCGAAGGTGTTGGCAGCGGGGCCCAAGAGCGCGCCCGTCACGTGGGCGCCCCCGTTGCCGTCGCGGATAAACGGGGCAAGGCTATTATCCGCAGCTTTACAGTATCCATTGCCAGAGGGTCGGGCCGCATCCTACCTGGCCTGCTCGGCCTGCGAGGCGCGGAGCCCATGCGAGCGATCCTGGGCGTGGGCCAACTCGTGCTGATCTTGCTCGGCGGCGGCGACGTGCAGATCCAGTGGCCCGCGGGTGCATGTCGCGCCCAATTGCAGACGGCCTCCAGCGGGCGTCTCGCGATGGTCTTCGACGACTTCGAGGGGGCCGTGCAAGCCGCCAGCGGCGTGCCCGACCGTAGCGTTCAGCTGCGCGCCCGCGCCGACGAGTCAGAAACGCAGACTGAGGACGCGACGCTGGCCGCTGCCCCCTCTGGCCAGGTGGCCGAGCAGCGGTCGCGCCTCGGCTCGCAAAATGAGCTGAGGCCCCCGCGCGGGGCACCCCAGCTCTCCTGGCTGGGGGGCCAACGTCGCGTCCCAACCGCGCTCTAGTGGCAGCGCTCGCGCCGACGTGCTGAACTCTTGAGCGGCGCGGGTGGCAGATGCGAGCGCTCCGCCCTGCGGACGTCATCTCTCCCTGCTTCTCCGTTCGCTTCAGTGAAATCGCCCGACGCGAATGTCAACTCGCGTGGATTGATGCAGCCGAGCCATTTTTTTCTTCCCGAGGAGTACGTGTCATCAGGGCGTATAATTATTGTTTCTATGAGTTACTACTTGCGTGCCGAAGACGCGACGTGCCCTGTGCTGCAATATGCTTGACAAACAGGCTGCATAGTGCCATCGGATTGGTCTCGAAGCCAGCAGTTCTGCCGACTCGTGCGCGCGCCAGAGCCCGGCGACAAGTCGCGTGCCAGGACAGCGTTCCGCGTCGTTGCGACGATAGGACAAGTGGCCACCCCGTTGTGCACATGTCCCAGAGACTTGATGCACCGAGCGTCCTGGCACTGGGCGACGGGGCGCCCTCCTGGCCAGGTGGGCTTCTCAGTGATTGCCCAGGCAAAGCGGATCAAAACAGAAGTCTTTTTTTATTTCAACGTGCGGTCTGTTTTTTCTTTGGCCCGACCAGGGCCCACTGTTCTGACGGAGTCAGAGGCTGTGGGGCCCGCGAGCGCGCCGGCTGCTCTTGGCGAGGGTGCCTCGGCAGCTTCGTCGAGCACCGAGCACTCTCCACCCCGGGCTGTTCGTCCGCCCGACAATCCCGATGCAGATAGGATGCGTGAACACAGGAAGTTTGACGCTAACGTAATCGAGAAAATGCCGCGTGAAGATGATGCATATAAGACGACAGATTTTTCGGTGGAGTACATAAAGTTTCATTCGATGATGCGGAAGAAGCTATCGACGTTGCTACGAAGGAAGACTTCCCGATCTCCGACCCCAGTTGGAGCTCCGTGGCGCGAGTCCACGTGTTGCTCTGGAGGTCCCTCTCTGCACCGGCCAAGATCTTGCCCGGCCCCTCTTGCTTCACTGGCAGATGAAAAGGACAGCGTACGTCGGCACTCAGCAAGAGCCAGGCAGTCTCGTCGTCAACACTTCGAGCTGGAGACAGCGATCCACTGCGAATGAGGTCTTGCCGTGTGAATGGACAGGCAGAACATTTTCCCTTGTCGCGCAAGCGCCCGCGTCGTTTGCCCTTCCCACCAGCGAGGCAGGACTCGCGAAGGCACGCAAGAAACAAGGCCATGTGCCAGTCAGACGCTCCAAAGGTAGAAGGCGACGTGGTCGACGACATCGGAGACGACCACTCTGGCCTTGGTGCGGAGGAGCAGCTCAAACGATTGTTCCAGGGCGCTTCCATTGAACGCGCCAGCGAGCCCCCAGTCGGTGGGCATTTGGCGGAATCATTCGCAGCGGGGACCATCGTTGGTCAGCGTGCCGCGTTCCCAGTGTCCACCTTCCAAGCCGCAGACGTCGCGCATGCCCTGGCAACGATCCGTGCCCTAGGGCCCAGCGCGGACCTGTGTGTGCTGCGCGGCGGCGGAGCCCGCGACCCACATTTCGCCTTTTGACGACAACTGACAGGCCGATGCAGGAAACATCTGCATCCTGGCTACGGGTTGTGATTCGGTCGGTCCTACTACTCAGCAGCGCGTCCTACAGTACCTTATATCGAATCAGGTACTAGTGGTGGTAATAGTGCCGTCTTGCCGCAGTGCTGGGCCGCCTAGTGGTATCAGCTACCGTAGCTATCATGAGACTTGGCGGACAC